GGTCTAAGGAAATATTGTGGCTAGTTTGATCTTCTACTCAGACCACTCAAACTTTCTCCCTATTAGTAATAAGGTTGTTTCACTTTCTTACTCATATGTTTAGTGAAGTAGCACTTTTATTTTTCTTCAAGAACTTTTCCTTTGCATTCACAGCTTGGGCTACCGTTTGGCTTAAAAGGCCTATTTTAGCTTTCAACATGCCTTCCTCACTAAACTTAATCATTTCCAGCTTTGATTTAAAATGAGAGGCATATGACTTTTCCATTCACTTTAACACTCAGAGGCCATTGTGGGGTTATTAATTGACCTAATTTAAATATTGTTGTCTCAGGGCATAGGGAGACTTGAAGTGAGAGGAGAGAGACAAGGAATGCATAACTGGTAAAGAAGTCAGAACACACACAGTATTCATCAATTAAGTTTCCTATCATACCTGCGTATGCTTTGTGGTGCCCTAAAACAATTACAGCAGTAACACTGAAGATCACTAATCGTTTATCACCATAACAGATATAATGACAAAGTTTGAAATATTGTGAGAATTTACCAGTATGTGACATAGAGACATGAAGTGAACACAAGTTGGAAAAATGGCACCAACAGATTTGCTCAACACAGGGTTGCTACAACCTTCAATTCATAAAAAATGCAAAGCACAATAAAATAAGGTATGTCTGCATAACACTTAAACTATTTGGCTAAATGTAATAGTGATGACATTCAATGCATAATTTAGAAGAGGTGACAGCTATTCTATAATTTCTGAAAAAGCACCCATTAATATCATCTGAGTTTTACACTGTTAGAGTATGTGAAGCTCCAGTCTATGAAAACACAGACCTATGCCAGCGAGTCAAGGCTTTGTTTTATATTCCAAGGAGTATTTCTTGACTGACGTTTTCTTGTTTCACAGTGATACTTGTTTTGATTCAGTGTTCAGGGTGGTCAATGACTACTGGAAGAATAAGTATGGCTTGGCTGGCACTTCCGTATTGTAAACTAGTATTTCTACACTTTAAGCAATGCAGAGATTTATACCAACATAAACACTTATGAAGACTTAAAATTATATTTAGTAATGTGTTGTTGATCAAACTAATAAGAACTGCCTTATTGAAATTTTTACTATAGAACACATACCTCTTGTAAGGTATTAATATCTACTCCATCCCCTTGAATCACTCTGAGATAAGGTGGCAGCAACTTGTAGCCCTTTGAGTTCTCAGTAACAGGAAACTTCTTACCTAAAATCTCCAAAACCTATATGGAAAAATACACATGCAACACAAATAACTGAAGCTGAAAACAAGAGCTTTCAAAGTTAAATGATTTTGCTTTGATAGACAATCTTGAGAATATAAAAATTAACTACTTTATATGCCTTCTAAAATCTGGTCCCAACCGCTTTAAAGTACATTAATAACAAGGATGTTATTTCCTATGAAGTGAATTTATACCATAAAGTGGCTCAAAACAAGTTTTTTCCCTTAGAACTTTCAAATTATATGGATTAAAGAAAAAAAATCCTTAATATTAGGAGACTGAATAATAATATTTTAAAGAAGTATATAAACCATTATTCAAATTACATAGATTCAAGACAAAAATCCTTAATATTAGGAGATTAAATAATATTTTAAAGAAGTATATAAAGATCATTTAACTCATGATTATACTTTTGATTTGGACTTACTCTGCTTGTGCCCAATGACTTTGGTTTTTGTCTGATATAACTCAAACATAAATCCATTTCAATCACAAAGTTCAGAGGAACTGTGATAGGCAGACACAGCATCTAGAACCCATAGTCTTTAAGTTCTCCTTTGCTCTTAATTAAAGCCAAATTGCACAATACGCAAATGATCCTACTCATTCACTAACCACTAAAAGTTTTGTACATCAATTTGAAATTTCTCAGAAAGCTTGGTCAGAGAAACAAGACCTGGAAGAGACACTTGTCATTGTCTTTCCGCAACAATCACGTCCTTTTCCTAAATAAACTGATTAAAGATTCTAATACAGAGAAAATTCCATATTAACAAAATCAGTTTCTTATAACTAGCTGTGTACATTTTTTATTAGGTAACAGTAAAAACATGAAACCTATCAAGTTTGCTAACACCAAATACTGTAGGCTAAGACAAGACCTTCAGCTTGGCCTATCATTTAACAGAGTAAGAAAAGACTTCCTTAATTCTCTGTCCCGGTTCCTTAAAGGGTAAGTACTCTATCATCTGCTCATTAACTGAGAAACAATGTGGTCAAGCAGCAAGGCTTCAGGCAAAAGACCTATATTGGATATTTGACTCCTTATCTTATATTCTGGGTGACCTTGATCAAGTTACTTTAACTTTTCCAGGCCTCTGTTTTTTCTTCTATAACAGGAACAGTAATATTTATCACTGTGGTTTTTTGTAAAGATTAAATGACACATCTTATGTAAAGCACCTAAAATAATACTTTTCTAGTAGTAGGCATCAAATAAGCCTGCTGTTGCTATTACTTTTTTTTTTTTTTTTTTTGAGACAGAGTTTCACTCTTGTTACCCAGGCTGGAGTGCAATGGCGCGATCTCGGCTCACCGCAACCTCCGCCTCCCGGGTTCAGGCAATTCTCCTGCCTCAGCCTCCTGAGTAGCTGGGATTACAGGCATGCGCCACCATGCCCAGCTAATTTTTTGTATTTTTAGTAGAGACGGGGTTTCACCATGTTGACCAGGATGGTCTCGATCCCTTGACCTCGTGATCCACCCGCCTCGGCCTCCCAAAGTGCTGGGATTACAGGCTTGAGCCACCGCGCCCGGCTGCTATTACTTTTTGAAGAAGACAAACTAAGTCCTGAACATTAACAACAAAAAGCAATATTGCTACATTATCAATCAATAGTATTTCTAAAGAATCTCCACTTAAATAGTATTTTTGAATTATTTTTATTCCATAACACCTTGTTCATGTTTCTTTTGTGCTAACAACTTTAAAGGTCTAGCAGTGACTTACAATGAAAAAGTAACAAACTGCCAATAAGTTTAGTGCCCAAATCACAAGATTAATTAAAATGGCAATGCTGTTAATTTTGCAGGTAAGCAGAAAAGATTATTTTACTATCTTATTGACAGTAAAATAATCCGTAACTCTTGATATCCTTCTGTGCTATTAATGTGTGACCTTGGGCAAATCTATTACTGTCTGTGGGCTGCAAGTCTAAAATCAGGGTCTGGTCCAGACAGCTCTGAAATTGCGTGTGTGTAAATGAAAAGTAGTGTTGATGCAGCTGGGCTACAGGTATTCTAACAGTCAAGTTACATATGAAAATTTACCTTTAACACAGTGTCAAGAGGGTTTCCAGAATCCGGTCTGATTATTAGTGGTGCCTCTGTACTTCTGGATACTATTAAATGTCTTAGATCTTCACCCCATATTTTCTCACACGCATTATAAATGTCATAGCTATCGCTGACCACAGATACAGGCACTGATGAAAACTGTGTTACTATATGTTCAAAAGCATCTTTTTCATGGTCTTTCCCCCAGGCTGTTATGGTACTAGAAAACAAAATGAAAATACAGATTTACTTATGCAGACACAGAATCTATTCCTGAATCACCTTTAATCACATCCCATGTTTACTATACCAAACCATCAATATCACAGAGAAGGTGACTGACTTAGTTTAACGAATGTACATCAAGGCAAATGAAATATCTGAGTCAACTACACCTTAGCCAATTAGTTTTTAACACTGTAAGTAGCCTTACTCCTTTTCAACAGTTATTAAGTTTCCTAGCTCTTAAGTCATTTTCAACCAATTATAAACTTTTTTTTTTTTTTTTGGTATTCCTGAATCTACTGATTTAAAAACAGTCAACTAAAAAGCACTTGGTGAGTGCCCTTTTTACATTACGTCAAGATATTAGAAAGAATGCATACACACTTCCATTATTTTGTTAGGCAATGAGAGCACCTGGCTCCCTTCTGTGAATTTCTGAAACTATATACCAATAATAATAAAGACATACATTTTGTTTTTTTACCTTTCAAAATCTTAGAGGCAATTATTTATATTACACCATACATATATATAGTCAACTACCTGTTATGTCTTCAAATGGCTAGTAATAAGAAGTCATGTACTTTGTTTGTAGATTATCTACTACAAATTAATATATGCCCAGGAAATAAAAATTCAAAGTTTAAGCAAAATATAATTAAGATGGAAAATAAGGTATGAGAGTTTCTATTTGGATAAGAATGGTTATAGTGATTTTTGCAATGTCCTTAATACCAGTTCTTCTTATTGGATAGATTCATATTTAATAAGTGATTACAGATTGGGTATTGCTTATGTTAAATGCTTGGGACCAGAAGTATTCTAAATTTCAATTTTTTTTGAGATTTTGGAATGTATGCATTATACTTATCAGTTAAGCATCCCTCGTTCTGAAATCGAAATGCTCCAATGAGCATTTCTTTTGAGCAAAAAGCTTCAGATTTTGGAGCAGTTTGGATTCGGATGCTCAACCTGCATAAATATTTGTTAACACATAATGTAAATAATTTTAAAAGATCTAAAACAGAACTTAACATTTCTGAAAATTATTATTTCATTATGCCAAGCAATTTTTCATTTTCCCTAATTTTTCTAGTCTTTGTCTCCAATCTGTTCTCCCCAGTAAATAATAAAAAGATAGCACATTCATTTATTGTAAAGCCCAAGTAAGCATAAGTTTAATTCATAACTGTTTAAAGAGTCAGACTTTATGTCTGAAATTATCACTTTATACATTTTTTTTTTTTAAAAGGAGTAGAGTTCATCTTTTTCCCATATTGTCAATGGTATACTTGGGGTAATGCAGCATGTACATTTCAAGATGATAAAGACTACAACCTAGAATCCAAAATTGAAAACCTATTTATATTAAACTCATTAGTGAACACTCTTCTTAACAGCTACAGAGGCTGCCAGTAGCTATCATGTCAATTCTCTATGTTATGCATCTGTAGGCTAAAGGAATTAAGATACGACTGAAAAGAAGCTCCTCTTCATATTCAGAACTGCTAATTCCCTCTAAAAAGGAGAGAATTAAGATCAATGAATACCAACAATGGAGAAGACACCGCTTACAATGTTGTAACAGTAAGTCATCTAACCATCTACTTGTATCATGTCTAGCAAACTTCATTGTTCGATCTTACTTGCTTTCTCCAAGACACCTGAATTTTCCTGAAGCTTTCTTTCTTGACTTCAATGACATCTCCCATGTTTCACCTTTATTTTTCTATTTCTATGGTTCCCTTTTCAGTCTTCCCCAGACGCTGAGCTCTCCTTCTTCAATCTAACCTGCCAAATGGCAATATTTCTTATGGCTCTGACTTAGGTACTTGTCTTCCGTAACACCTTGTGTGAAACATTCAAAGCTTAAGAAAAAAAAAAAAAGTCCCTGCATGAGGGTTTCCAGCATCTGTATTTTAGCATCTTTCTTTTCTGGGCTCCAGATCTACTTTGTTTGATAGAAAGTTGAGTATCTTCATGTCAGCATCCCACAGACACCTGCTATAGCACACTCTAGCTAGATCGATCATAACCTCTATTCTTCTAGTATTTGATATATGAAGATTATAAATGAATTCTAGAGATCATAAATATCATTAATGAATTCTACCAATGCTATTAATCCCAATTTCAAGCACCAAATTAAATCTGATACCTTCCCAAGTTTGAGAAAAAAAGCTTCTGTAATTAAATATTTCTAGGTACAGATTCTTCTATTAAGATACATATAATAATGTAAACGTCTAAATTTATACAGTCCTCTTAAAGTTATTTTAGATGTTAGCTCATTTATCATCAATGACCTTGTGATGTTGGAGATGTAAAACTTTAGGCCCTCCTTTTGTTTGGTTGGATGGAGGAAATGAACAGAGATAAGCACTTGAGAGAGACAAGTGACTTGCTCAAGGCCACCCACTATGTCAGCCGGAAGGTCACCCAGGTTTCCCAACTTTCAATCCAATCCTTTTTGGTACACTATGCTCTTGTTTAAAAGACGTTTCTATTAAGAACATGTGAAGCATCTGTATATAAATTTTACCAATGCAATGAATGAGACCATAAAAATAAAATGGATTTTTATCTCATGCCCACATATAGCATCCTTTTCATTTTAACAAGAAAGCCCTAAAGCCACTGTCCTTGTTCTCAGAATGATGTTACTACTTTGAAACAACCAACAGCCAAGAGTCTAATATGTGCATACTACATTAGATTTTTAAAAGATGCACATCTAAGTCCAAAATAAAAATACTCTAAAACTTTATCTGTTAAAGACACTCTTATTTTCCCAGGTTGCTAGTCTTGAAACTTTATGTAAAAGTGTTCAACAAGGCCTTACTAATACCACAATGCTCATAAAGGTCAGCTGAATCTATTCCCTAGAGTCCCAACTCAAAACACCAAGTTTTAGCAGTTTTATCTCCCAAACATTGCTCATGTTTACCTATTTCCTTCCATTTATTTGGCATCTTGGTTCTGGACTTCATCACCTTAAACTGTTGGAATAGCTTCCCATAAAGACTATCTTCCGGTTTTTCCAATCCATAGGACAGACATCCTGCTATAAAAATGTCTCCTACAATATCTATCTGATAACATCACTTCTTTGCTCAAAAATGTCAGTGGCTGCTTCCATTTAAAAATGCCTAATTTAGAATAACCTAGCATGATGTGCACACAGTTAACATTCAATGTCAAAACATGAGGGCCCTTACTAACCCGAACCTGTCTTCTCGGTCTCCCCTATGCTCCCTAAGAAATCTGTTTCAGCCTTTATTCTCTCAACACATTCACTCTCTCTGCTTTCATCACTATGTTTCACACAAGATAAGCATGCAATAAATATTTACTCAGAGAATGAATAACTGCCCAATGTTAGCCATTAAATTTTACCAATCTTTCAAGAAGAGAAGATTTTGCATATTCTATAAAAGCTTTCTTGATACTGCTAGTGAAATATGATCCTCCTTTCCTAGTGGAATATGATTCTTCCTTTCCTTCCCTTGTAACACTACAGCATTTTAACTGTACCTCCTTACAAGCACTTAACCAACAGAGCAGACTATCACTAGTGTATTATTTCATCCTGAGGATAGGGTCAGTTTTAAAAAAATATCTTTCTATCGCTTGTTGCACCCAGTAGACTGCCTTGCATATGAACACTGGTCAACTAATATGGCTCAAATAGTAGTAACAATAAGGCTTAATTAGCTTGATTCTAAACTCATTGCTGTTTTTAGCATTTTGGAGTTTTAAGTATAAGCAGAACTTAAACATTCCCTAATGATCATAGTAAATAATTTTGTTATAAAAACCAGAAATAAGGTTTGACAAACACTTAAAAAACCCCATGTACTTTCAATAAAGTTAGCTCTAGGACCAGGGCAGCTGTGGTTTAGATTATAATTTCTTTCTTGGGTAACTAAAGATGGTTTAGTAAGAGTAAATAAGGAAGTGTAAAAAGGATCTGAACACCCTTTCTTTCCTCAAAACGTCTTGCTTTCTCATCTACAACTGAAGGTACTGTACAGATGACAATTTCCAGGGCAAATACAGGGAAAGTCATATAGAAGGACAAGGAAAAGGCAAAAAGTGGACAGTACTGTAAGTGAGTGCTTCTAAATTTAATGAATAAAATCTATCTACATTTGGCAATACAGTAACAAAAAAAATTCCTTAAAAAGAAAATTTCTATGACAATGCAAGTGTTGGAAAAAAGCTCTTAAGCTGTTTCTTCTAGAATGGATAGAATTTCTCTACCTCTCTGAGACTAATGTTTATACTTCTGTATAGATACTGAGTTTGTGTTGCTCAAGTTCATGAAGATTTACTGTAGGTACCTGGCTCTGCAGTTAGGTAAAATGTCACTGAGTTACAAATACAAGAGTAAAAAAAGTTAGTAGTTTTAGTAAATAAACAGAATTTTTTACCTGTGTTCTGCTGCTGGAACAGAATAGCCTGGAACAGGATCTTTCGTTCCATAATATTTTTTTATGAGAGCAATTCCTGCTACTGTATCTGTTCCTTTGAAGTTAACCAAATGAGCAGATGCTCCTATCCCAGCAGTCTGGAAAATCAATCATAAACCGAAATCCAAAAAAGAAAAACCCACATAATAATAAGACCAGCAGAGGACCATCCAGTCAACCATATTTAAGGTATATGGCGTGGCTCCCATGGGAATTGTCTTTAGCTATTCTTAGGAAAGTATTTATTATCAGAGATAACAGTTCTTAATGACAGAGATTCAATTTTTCCTAAATATTAAAAAATTCAACTATTATCTCCTCAAAGAGGTAACAGTTATTAACTAATGTTATTAAACTATTTAATAACTGTAAATATTAATTACTAAATTAAACATCAACTATTTGATATATTAATATTTAATAAATATTAAATATTAGCTATTTAATAGTGCTCCACCCCACTTTTCATCACTCTCTCTTCCCTTACCCTGCGTTGTGCTTCTCTATGGAATTATTTCACCTCTGATATATTTATTATGTCTATTTCTATCCATCTGTCCATCTAATGTATCAAGGACAGGGACATCTGTGGAAGGCCATATCCCATGTACCCTGCACATAGTAGTAGGTACTGAGTATGTATCTGCTGGCTGAATCTTCGGAATTTCAAAATGTGGCCTGCTTAGAACCAAGATCAATCCCAGTAACATCCCCAAAAGTTTATAGTGGTACTCTATATTAAATGAGGTTGGTTTCAGTCACTTACCTCTTGGGAAGAGACTCCTCTGTAGCCAAAATCATGTAACTTGTATTCCAGACCATCTAAGTTACCAGAAGTTTCTAACAAATATTTGGCCAATATTTTCTTCTGCTCTCTGGAATTTGTGGCCACTGTGATTGGATACCAGGACTGAACAAGAATAGTCTGTAGTAACAAAATTAACCACAAACATTAAGACATAAAATCCTGCGTTCGTTCTGAGGAAAATCCTAGCTTTTGTTGGAGGTATGTCCTGGAGCTTCCATACTATTAACTAGACACTCAACTGCACAGGATGCCTGTTGTGTGCATTCCAGATATAGTACATTGCTCAGCTCTCAAATCAGCAACAAAGAAGATAAGCACAGCAGGCCCACACAACAGAGAACTTCACATTACCAAGTTTCTATCCAAAGCTCCAAAGAAGCAAATAACATTCTGAAAGACTATCTGTGATAAAAGGACCAATTTTGAAAGTTTCAATCTGTCATGGATCAATAGTTTATAAAGTACACTCAAACTGGGATGCTGAGGCAATGTCAAGCTGCCCTAAGTGTCTAAATGCTTACTCTTCATTTCTGTACTTAACGTGGACTTGCATCAACTAGGGCATAGACCAGCATGGACCAGCATGCCCTATTTGATGCAAGTTCACATTAAGTATAGAACTGTATTTTGATTAGTACTGGTCTAAAGAAGTTGTTCGTTTACTCCTCTAGGTAGTCTTGAATCTAATTTTCCCTTGGATTGAATAGGACAACTAAGTTATATACTTGAAGCACTTTAACTTATTACTACAGAAATATATTTACCGAGTTATGCTTTATGTATGTAGCTTTTATCAAATATATAAGTATTTTATCAAATATATAAATATCAAATATTTATCAATATTTATAAAATACATCAAATGTTTATCAAATATATCAAATATTTATATATTTGATAAAATACTTATATAAGTAAGTCACAGGAAACATTTCCGCATATGTTGTTTAATCAAGGTCATGGTCTACTTTATAATTCAGTGACTACTAAGTTCCCAAATGAGAAAACAGAAGAAATGCTGGGTTCCTCTTTCTGATAAGAACAGTGTTTTGATTTCCCTTTTTTTCTTGGCTGCCAGGAATCTCCACAGAAAGTATGTTTAATTACAGCAACCGTAATAATTATTTCCATTCTAAGATCATACTTTTCTATTTTTATTTTATAAACCAGATAGTATGTCACTAGAAGCAGCTTCAAATCTGTTTGAAAAAAGAGCTGCTAAGATGATGCAATGTCTGTGCTGAACCAAAAAGATATTTATTAACTAAATTTGACAAAGCAAGCTTTTACTGAATACAAGTGATAAATAAAACAAGTAAAAACAAATAAAAAGATTAACCTTGAACCTGCCAATCTGGTCATCGTTTTTAAAAACCCTGCAGCATTCATTAGACTCCTGTGACTGATTAAATGTGGCCTTTGCAGCTCTTCTCATCAAGAGATAGAATCTACGTTCTCATCCCTTGATTCTGTGCTGTCCTTATGATTTACTTTTGACTAACCAGATTGTGGAGAAAGTCCTGTGTGACTCCCAAGCCCCAGTTTCAAGAGGTTTTCCAGCGTCTACTCTTTCTCTTAGAACCCCAAGACCAAGAGGCTCTGAAGAAGCCTCTTATGGAGTGAGACCTGGTAGTCACAGCTATCTAAGGTGAGGCCCCAGACATGGGAATGAGGCCATTATAGAGAGTCCAGCCTTGCTGAACCCTCAGCTAAATGCAGATGTATAGGTCTAAGCAAGACCAGCAGAGGACCATTCAGTCAACCACAGAATCAGGAGAAATAATAGTTGCTTTAAGCCACTAAGTTTTGGGGTAGTTTGTTATACAATAGAAAATTGATGCAATTCTTAAACTCTATAACCAGTCACTTCCAACCTCTGACCATTCTGCTTCTGAAATTATTCTTTCGATTCTACTGCCAGTGCCCATGATTATCCTAACCTTTAGCCTCTCTAATTATTCCTCATACTGCCACTGGTTATCATTCCAAAACAAGTTTTTTTTTTAGGCTTTCCTTAAAAGGCTTTAACGGTGATCTGCTGTTCACGGAGTGGGGGTGGAGCTCATTCATACAGGATTTGAGGCCTTCCAGCATCTTGCCTTGTATACCAGCACAAGGTTTATCGTCTATACATTTTTTACTTTTATGCTACAGACGCCATAGGACTATTTGTCATTCTAAGAACACAGTAGCATTTCTTAAGCTCTTCCTTCTCCTTATTAAAAGCTTATTTTCCATTTCATGATTCCTTTAGACAGAATTACC